CCAAAGTTGCTAATCTACAACTCTTTAATTTATCCTCAGGTAGATTTTTTTGGACAAGGAGAGAAAGCAGCCACTCCTTTTGGCCAACTATCTCTAGGAGACCTCCATCTCCAAAACCTCTTTATTGGGACCCCTGTAGTTCAAATCACTTTCAGCACCACTGTCTTCTATACTCCTACTAGAATGGCTTATTAAACCTCATTTAAATTGTCCAATTGCTCTTCGAGTCCAAAGCCCCAAAGTGTTCCTTCCACATTCCTCCACATAGCCAGGCCAACCACAGCAGTATCCCAGTCCCTGGTACTAAGCTGTCTTAGACAGGGTTTCTATTGCTGTGATGAAACACCATGGCAAAAAAGCAAGTTGGGGAGGAAAGGGTTTATTTGGCATATGCTTTTATATCACTGCTCATCATTGGAGGAAGTCAGGACAGAAACTCAAACAGGGCAGGATCCTGGAGACAGGAGCTCTTTTGGAGGCCATGAAGGGGTAATGCTTATTGCTCTCCAGGCTTGCTCGCTTGCTTTCCTTTTTCTTTTTCTTTTTTTTTTTCATTTTTTTAATATTAACAACAGTTTGCTAACTTTATATTCCTGCTGTATCTTGCTCCCTCTTTCCTTCCCAATCCTACCCTCCCTCCCTCATCTCCTCCCTGCCCCTTTCCAAGTCCACTGATAGGGGAGGACCTCCTCCCCTTTCATCTGATCCTGGTTTATCAGGTATCTTCAGGACTGGCTGCAAAGTCCTCCTATGGGGTCTAGCAGAGCTGCTCCTCCCTCGGGGGTAGGGGAGGAAGTCAAAGAGCCCGCCATTGAGTTCATGTCAGAAACTGTCCCTGTTCCCCTTATTAGGGTACCCACCTGGATACTGAGCTACCCAGGGCTACATCTGAGCAGAGATTCTAGGTTGCATCCATACATGGTCCTTGTTTGGAGAAACAGTCTCATAAAAGACCCCTGTGCCCAGATATATTTGGTCCTTGTGGAGCTCCTGTCCTCTCCAGGTCATATTAACCCCCCCCCCTTTTTATGATTCCCTGTACTCTGCCAAAGGTTTGGTTATGAGTCTTAATATCTTTGATACACTGCTAGGTAGAGTCTTTCAGAGGCCTTCTGTGGAGAATGGCAGAGAAATGGCCAACGTCCTTAGCCATCAGAGAGATGCAAATCAGAACGACCCTGATATTTCACCTGACACCCACCAGAATGGCTAAGATCAAAAACTCAAGTGACAACACATGCTGGAGAGGCTGTGGAGAAAGGGGAACCCTCCTCCATTGCTGGTGGGAATGCAAACTTGTACAACCATTTTGG